TAGTGCTCTTAAAAATCCTCAGACTTCCTTATGGTTCCTGGCTTTTCTATGAGAGTGCCTAGCCAAAAGCTTGTCTTTTGAGCAGCAGTGCACACTGGTAGCAAAAGTATTAAGACAGAGATCCTTTGGTAGAGTTTCAGAGACATGGAGGAGGCTGGGACACAGAGCTCTGATACCTGGAAAGAAACATTGAGATTTTCAAGGTAAATTGGGAAATCATATCTATCAGGTCATATCATGTGAGCTGACGGGCTATTTCAGAAAGGATGGCCAGTCATGCCTACTCGCGCAGGCAGGAGAATCTCAACACTAAAAATAACCTGGAGAGGAATTAGTTTGTGGCTGAGATTTCATTAGTGATTCTTGCACAGAATGGAGCAAACAGTATTGTCCCAGTACATATCTCAAGATGGCACCTAAAGCTGAAACAAAAGAAGGCTTTGATATTTAGGCTTACATGATATAGCTATTTCTATTACATTTATCAGTATGAATTGCTTGCAACCATTCATTTTCTTCTGTAAATCAAGAGGACTGTTGGTTTCCTACACCCATTTTACCTCTGAAATCTACCCTCCATCCCATCTGTGGGACATCTTTCTGTCTTAAGCTGTGGCATTCTGTGTCATGTAAAGCAAAGGAAGCAGTAGCTGAGTCTCTTTCAGGAGTATGTGGTATTAGTACTCCTATATCTTCTGTCTTTTCACCAATTTCACTTCTGTGACATCTGTTTCAAAGGGCTTGTCTTCACTACAGCTGCTGGTCGATTTAAGCTACACAATTTGAGTTATGTTAGTGTAATTCAAGTTGACATCGCTTAGATCTACTTACTGCGGGGTCTACACTATGCTATGTTGATGGGAGACGCGTTGCCACTGACATTGCTTCCAGCTCTCGTTGAGGTGGCGTACAGAAATTGATGGGAGAGTGCTGTACCATCGATTGAGTGGGTCTCCACTAGACCCGCCAAATCAATGCCACTTCATCGTTTGCAGCAGCACCTATTTAGCTCTGTGGTGAAGACAAGCCCAACGAGTGAACTTATCCTGTCCCAGTGTCTTCAACACCAAAAATTTCTGCTGATGAAACTATTTGTTAATGATTTGGTTGCAGTCATTGCAGCTCAGACACAGCAAGTTAAACATTAATGTGTGAAGAAGTTTTTTTAATCTTATTTCTCTGCTTGTGTTTGAGAAGCAAAAATGCTGTCAGTAACAATAGTACGTAGATATACAACCTTACTTCAGAAGTTATTGAGCTGCAAGCACTAAAAAGGAAAGACATCATCAAACTAAGTCACAACCTATTTATATATGAGAAATTTTGAAGTACAGGAAATGGTAATGGGTAATCCTTCAAAACTGCAGCCCTTGGACTATGGGGAGAAGACCAAAGAATAGTCGGGTAACCTGAATGCTTCGATGGTTTTTAAATTTGCCTGTGTAAGAGGATATACAGTTGATATTTGCTTAGTTACTATCAGTGAGTATTTCTTTGTGTAAATGGTAATGAGACCATTAGGACTATGTTCACCTGAAGTGCAGCTCTGTGAATCTGAGGTAATTAAACACCTCCAGTATGAAAGAGAAAGGGCAGTGAAGGTTAAGTGAGGAATAATCTGACACACAGGTGGTGTAGAGCCTTTGAGAAGCAGGAAGAAAAGAGCCTCAGTTGATATCGACCATTTCAAAGGATGGAAATGTCACCATTGTCATTGGGAGAAGCTTTTGTCATTTTTATAGGTGTTCTTTTTACTTGAATAAAAACATTTCATTTAGAATTTCAGTTCAAGCTTTTAAAATATATTAAGGGATATGAGTGTGGTGACTCAGTCTTGATATCCTCAATCTTTTATTTCATATTTGTATTATGTAATCAGGATTGGGAACCTATTGTGGTAGGCATTCTACATGCATGCAGAATTTATTCTCTACATATTTTAGCTTTTTTTAGAATAAACTTATATAAAGCTACATATCTATCCGAAAATGTTTATAAACCACTTATAAAATATTTGTGGAATTTCATTTATATGGCAGGCATTCGTATTAAACTTTTTTCGTACCATTCACAAAAGGAAAAAAATCTTTACTAATCTGATACTTGAACTCCAGAGAGAAAACACAGATCTTTGGGCCTGCTTATGATTTCTTGTTCCTGCACTAACGAACTAATGAACTTCGTCAAATGTTTTTCTATACTTGTTTTTATAGAATTACTCTAGGCAGGCAAAGGGACCATGATGACAATCCTATATTGAATAAAAAGAGCATCTAAACTACGATATGTACTGTAATCAGGTCTGGCCAAAATAACAGGGATGATGTATCTTGTGTAGTGTCTCATCAAACATTGTACCTGACATTTACAAATCCTTAATTCTTTCTCATCTCAAGGTATCCTGCTCCCTTAATCTGACTTTAATTGTAGCTAAATATCACCTGTGCACGTTTGCCTCATACATCGGCATTTTAACTTCCGTAGGGTTGAAATGGTAGAGTAAAAACTAGAGTTGGTTGGAGGGGGGGAAGATTTTCCAATGAAACAATTTCATTGAAAAATGCCATTTTGTGGAACCCCAAATGTTTTGCAAAAACACTTCAGATTCCACAGATTTTTATCAAATCACAAGCAGGGTTCCAATAGAACCTTGATTGGAGCTGGCAGGCTTCTGGGGAGACTTCCAGGCTTCCAGGATCCATGGCTCCTGCGCAGATCCACCATGTAGGCTTCCTGCCCTTGTAGGCTCCCTGCCACCAGTCAGTGGGGTCACTGGACGATCAAATTGCTAAGGGAGCACTCATGGAAGATAAGGCCATTGTGGAGAAGCTAAATGAATTATTTGCATTGATCACTGCAGAGGATATTGGGGAGATCCCCACACCTAAGCCATTCTTTTTAGGTGACAAATCCTAAGGAGCTTTCTCAGATTGAGATGTTAATAGGGAGGAGGTTTTGGAGTAAATTGATAAATTAAACAGTAGTACATCACCAGGACCATATGATATTCATCCAAAACTTCTGCAGGAACTCAAATATGAAATTCCGGGACTATTGACTGTGTGGTATGTAATGTGTTGCATACATCAGCTTCTGTACAAGATGACTGGAGGGTAGCTAATGTAACAGAGGTGATCTGGCAATTACAGGATGGTAAGGCTAACTTCAGTCCCAGCAGATTGGTTAGTAAAAAAACAAAATTATCAGATGCATAGATAAAAACGTTGTGTTGGGGAAGAGTCAACACAGCGTTTGTAAAGGGAAATTGTGCCTCACTAATCTATTAGAATTCTTTGAAGGACTCCACAAGGATGTGGACCAGGGTGATTCAGTTGGTATAGTGTACTTGGACTTTCAGAAAGCCTTTGACAAGGTCCCTCATCAAAGGCTCTTAAGCAAACTAAGCAGCCTTTGGGATAAGGGGAAAGGTCTTGTCATGAATCAGTAACTGGTTAAAAGATAGGAAACAAAGGGTAGGAATAAATCGTCAGTTTTCACAACGGAGAAAGGTAAATAGCGGGATCTCCCCAAGGATCTGTACTAGGATGAGTGCTGTTCAACATATTCATAAATGATCTGGAAAAAGGGGTGAGCAGAGAGGTGTCAAAGTTTGCAGACGATACAAAATTACACAAGATAGTTCAGTCCAAAGCTGACTACAAAGAATTACAACGGGATCTCACTAGATTGAGCAACAAAATGGCAGATTAAATTCAGTGTTGAAAAGTGCAAAATAATGTACATGGGAAAAAATGATCCCAGGTAGACATACAGAATGATGAGGTCTAAATTAGCGGCTACCACTCAAGAAAGAGATGTTGGAGTCATCATAGATAGTTCTCTGAAAACATCCGCTCAATTTGCAGCAGCAGTCAAAAAGGCTTACCGAATGTTAGGAACCATTAAGAAAGGGATAGATAATAAACCAGAATATATCATAATGCCACTATACAAATCCATGGTACGCCCACACCTTGAAAACTGCATACAGTTCTGGTCATCTCATCTTGAAAAAGATATATTTAGAATTTGAAAAGGTGCAGAGAAGGACAACCAAAATGATTGGGGGTATGGAACAGCTTCCATATGAGGAGAGATTAAAAAGATGGGGTGGGAATGTTCAGCTTAGAAAAGAGATTAGCATATCATCCATTAGCTGAGTTCTTTGGAATCAAGAATGATATGGAGAAAGTTAATAGGGAAATGTTTATCCCTTCCCAGAACACAAGAACTAGGGTCACCCAATGACATTAACAGGCAGCGGTTTTAAAACTGAACAAAAAGGAAGTATTTCTTCACACAATGCACAGTCAACATTTGGAACTTGTTGCCATGGGATGTTGTGAAGGCCAAAAGTACAAGTGGGTTCAAAAAAGAATGAGACAAATTCATGGAGAATAGGTCCATTAATGGCTATTAGCCAAGGTGCAGAAGGATGCAACTCAATGCTCAAGATGTCCCTAAACCTGCAGCCGCCAGAGGCAGGGACTGGGCGACAGGATGAATCACCTGATAAGTTTCCCTGTTCTGTTGATTCCCTCTGAAGCATCTGTCACTGGCTGCTGTCAGAGACAGGATACTGGTCTCAATGGGCCATTGGTCTGAACCAGTATGGCTGTTCTTATATGCTGAAACTAAGGGAATGAAGTTCATTGGTGGGTCCTGAGGGGGAATATGTGCAACTGTACAGACTGCCTCGAAAGAACACCAAAATCCTTATAGCTTTAAACATTTAACAATAGATGAAAATAAGGCAGGCTTTAAAAAACATGTCCTTATCTTCCTGCAGTCCTGCCTGCAGGCTTCCAAGTAGAATGTAATCATCTGCTAGTGGGCCAAAACAAGAAAATGGAAAACTCCAGGATTGTACTTGGTGTCGTTCTTCCTCACAGGTGCAGCGGATGCTGGGACACTTTGTGAAACTTCTTTGGCTAGTTCCCAGTTCAGTAGGTTATTTGTTTATGCTGTGAGGATGATCTAGGACTGTTGTGTACTTACAGGTTTCTGCACTCAAGAACAGATTAAAGAAAGTCTCCACAACTACTGGGGATGGTGTGGCAAGAGCATTCCTAAAAGCCCAGGCCTCTTTCTTTGGGAGCTACAGAAATGCACTGAAAATTGAACCCGTAAGTAGGACATCAATATGTTAACACAAATGCAGATGTGTAGCGGTGGTGGAAATTGTCCAAAAGCTGTTCGTATGCATAAGGAATGGGGTGGTGAATAATACTAAGGATACTATAAGAGCTGTCAAGCGATTAAAAAAATTAATTGTGATTAATCGCACTGTTAATAATAGAATACCATTTATTTAAATACTTTTGGATGTTTTCTACATGTTCAAATATATTGATTTCAATTACAACACAATACAAAGTGTTCAGTGTTCACTTTATTTTTTATTACAAATATTTGCATTGTAAAAAAAAAAAGAAATAATATTTTTCAATTCAACTAATAAAAATAATATAGTGCAGTATATTTATCATGAAAGATAAACTTAAAAACATAGAAAAAAAAAAAAAAAAAAAACTGCATTCAAAAACAAAACAAGTCCACTCAGTCCTACTTCTTGGTCAGCCAATCACTCAGACAAGCAAGTTTGTTTACATTTGCAGGAGATAATGCTGCCCGTTTCTTGTTCACAATGTCACCTGAAAGGGAGAACAGGCATTCGCATGGCACTGTTGTAGCCGGCGTCACCAGATATTTACAAGCCAGATGCGCTAAAGATTCATCTGTCCCTTCATTCTGCAACCACCATTCCAGAGGACATGAATCCACGCTGATGACAGGTTCTGCTCGATAATGATCCAAAGCAGTGTGGACCAATGCATGTTCATTTTCATCATCTGAGTCAGATGCCCCTTGCAGAAGGTTGATTTTCTTTTTTGATGGTTTGGGTTCTGTAGTTTCTACATTAGAGTGTTGCTCTTTTAAGACTTTTAAAAGCATGCTCCACACCTCGTCTCTCTCAGATTTTGGAAGGCACTTCAGATTCTTAAACCTTGGGTCGAGTTCTGTAGCTATATTTAAACATCTCACACTGGTACCTTCTTTGAGTTTTGTCAAATCTGCAAGTGACAGTGTTCTTAAAATGAACAACATGTGCTGGGTCATCATCCAAGACTGCTATAACATGAAATATATGGCAGAATGCAGATAAAACAGAGCAGGAGACATACAGGTCTCCCCCAAGGAGTTCAGTCACTAAGTAATTAACACATTTTGTTGTTGTTGTTTTTTTAAATGAGCATCATCAGCATGGAAGCATGTCCTCTGGAATGGTGGTTGAAGCATGAAGGGACATATGAATCTTTAGCGCATGTGGCATGTAAATATCTTGTGACGCCGGCTACAACAGTGCCATGCGAATGCCTGTTCTCACTTTCAGGTGACATTATAAACAAGCAGGCAGCATTATCTCCTGCAAATGTAAACAAACTTGTTTGTCTGAGCAATTGGCTGAACAAGAAGTAGGACTGAGTGGACTTGTAGGCTCTAAAGTTTTACATTGTTTTGTTTTTGAGTTCAGTTATGTAACAAAAAAAAATCTACATTTGTAAGTTGCACTTTCACGATAAAGAGCTTGCACTACAGTACTTGTGTGAGGTGAATTGAAAAATACTATTTCTTTTGTTTATCATTTTTACAGTGCAAATATTTGTAATAAAAATAATAACATAAAGTGAGCACTGTACACTTTGTGTTCTGTGTTGTAATTTAAATCAATATATTTAAAAATGTAGAAAAACATCCAAAAATATTGAATACATTCAATTGGTATTCTATTGTTTAACAGTGCGATTAAAACTGTGATTAATCATGGTTAATTTTTTTAATCACAATTAATTTTTTTTGTTAACTCATGCGATTAACTCCAATTATTTGAGAGCCCTAATTATAAGGCTTTTATGTAAATCAATATTGCAAACTCAGCTGGAATCCTGCATGTGATATTGGTCATTGAATCTCAGAAAGGAGATTGTAGAAATAGAAGGGTTCACCAAAGAGGAATGAGAGATAAAGGGCCTGGAAGAACTCTTGTATAAAGAGAGATTGAAAAGAATTAGGATTATTTACTTTAGAAAGGAGATGATTTAGGGGGGACATGATAGAAGTATGTCAAATAATAAATGGTGTGGAAAAGGTAGATTAGGAACCTCTGTTCACCCTGTCTCATAACACAAAAATAAGGGGATATTCATTGAAATTTAAAAGGTGGAAAATTTAAAACAAATAAAAAGAAATACTTTTTCACACCACATATACTTATACTGTGGAACTCAGTGCCATAGGAAGGCATTGAGACCAAGAATTTAGCAAAATTCAAAAGGAGATTGGATATTTATATGGATAGCGACAATAGCCAGAGTCGTTATACTTAATAACAAAAAAATTTTGAAGGGATATTAATCCTAATACTTCAGGGATTAAGCCAATGTCTAACTATTATAGACCAGGAGGAGACCTATGTGAGGGCTGATTATCCCACATCTACCTACTGTGGAGTTCTTGTACTGTCTTCTGAAGCATTTGGCACTGACCACAGTCAGAGACACTTTACTGGACTAGATTGACCTCAGTTCTGATCCACTCTGGCAATACCTCTATTCCCATGTAAGGGTTTTATGAAGCTCTTGTCATGGTGATTGGCCTCCCCTGAGGACGCAGAATATTTTTGTAGTCCTATTGGCCTATGACAGATAGGGACTGTGTAGATGATATTATGAACAAGTTAGCTATAATGCACAAGGTTTGAGCCAGAAGGCATATAGAGGATGGAAGGGGCTAATAGCTTAATGATCCATAGAATATCTCTAATAGTCTTAGTGAGAGTCCTATTCCCTTCCTCAAAACAGAGGAGACTACCACACAGGTAAATTAAAGCAAAATGTGGGGATATTTTTAACCTGATGTTCAGGCACTCATTAAGGTCACTGCAGTTTAGACTAATGGGAGGTGCACAAGAAAATCCCCACGGAGTGTAGAATGTACCTTTTGCCGTAATGCTTTCATCCATGATTGTTTTTCCTTGAGCATTCAAGGATCAGAATGGAGAATTGGTGGCTGCAGTGAGGAGCAGGAATAATATAGGGAGAGGCTGAGTTGGAGTAATGGGGGATGGATGGGTTAGTGATGACTCAAGAAAGGGTGCTGTCTTCTGAATTCTGTCTCTAGGGATGAATACAGGATTCTGGTATGCAGGCATGTAAACACATTTCACACACACTGTTTGTTAGAACAAAAGACAGAATTTGGGCTACAGATGTTGTTTTTTGATTTCCTTATATTTTCCCTGTCCCCTTCATTACTGCACTTAATATTTTGCATATTATGAATTATTTGTGGATTTCATAAAGCTGGAGGGAAGGAAATAGCTTGATCAGATTTTTAAATAGTCCTATCCAACATCTTCAATGAATGAGCATCATTCCACTCAGACATATTCACTGTTCAAAAATAACACTATTGAATTCAGCAGAGCTGAGTCTGTTGCTCCTATTCTGATAGCAAGGATATATGCATGGTATGTGTATAAATATAAATGCATTTGATCTATCTGTGTATGGCTCATAAAAGTATCAAGTGTGAATGTTATGCTTTTAAAGTACCAAATATGAACTAACAGGAGCTACTTTAATTCCCATCCATATAATTAACAAAAGTGAAAGCAGCAAGGCAGCCTGGCTGTAAGCCTCCTTTATCCATGTCAAGCAGACACCGACTTCCCCTCATTCGTTTAGGCCTTTCTTGCTCTCTGACACTCCTCCCACTAGTTGCCAGGCAACTCTAGGAGTATTGGTGTGCGTGCTGCTTGGATATGTGTGAGGGATTAACTAGTTAAGGTTGGGGTTTTTATGAAGAAGAATAAAATTTTAAATTGCTTTACTGGGAATAACATTTGGTTTTTTGCAGGCTGAACATTACAGATGAGATATCAAAATTGGTTGATGATGACACACACCTTTGAAACTACAATTCCCCTTTTAGGGAGAGCTAATCTGAACAAGTAAAAAGCCTCATTTGGTTTGCACATTATTCCCACAAACAGAAACTCTAAACATAATTGAAAAGTCCCATTGTACAAATCTGTCTTAAAAACCCTATTTTATAGGAGATTCTTAGTCTGATCTCAAAGATCAGGGAATATGAAGGAACAGGAATTTCTAAGTCCTTATATGCGTGATCTCATAATAGTATAACATTTTTGATGCTGTAACAACGATGGTCTATGAAAACAGAGCAGCTTTGTATACTAGAACCACCTGGATGGAGTTGGCTAGAATGCTATGTTCAAACCCCACACTTTTCAAACTGTCTTAATGGACTGGTAATTAAAGCATAGGTCTAGGAGTCAGGTGACCTGTATTCTGTTACCAGTTCCGCCAAGGACTTCCTGCATACTCTTGGCCCAATCATACAATCCATGAATACCTCAGGGTTTCTTCTGTAAAATACTGATAACTTATCTACTTCAGTGGAGAGGGATGGTTTTGAGGAGTGCAGTGCATTGGGAATTAGTTCAAATTCTATTGGGGAAAAACTTTAAATTTTGTCTGATGCATAGTGAATGTCAGAGTGCAGAACATAGTTCCAGACTGACCACCCATACAGTCAAACTGTGAATAGATTGACACCTCAGCTTGAACCATTATGGGCCAAATCTCTGTTTATAAGAGCACAAGCATAAGTAAGAAACAAGCAAGGGGATGCAGGAGAGTTGCCAGTCAGCTTTAGGAAATTCTCCTTTGTCAACATCTTGGTCACCTCTCAGCCTATTTCATTCACTCAGACATCATCCATGTGGTCAAACAGTATTCGGTGTGAGGAGAAATGTTCCCTCATGATGGAGGATTGAACAGGTCTGGTCAAGGCAGAAGCTCACTTTCTTGTGCTGCACTGCTGAGACATCTTCAGCTGCTGAATCTCATTCTGGTTTGGCAGGAGTCCAACAGAGGTTTGTGGACTGGAAGAATCCTACACCTGAAAAAGCTCTTCATGGCAACATTTTCCAAATGATGAAGGTTTTAGTTTTAATTCACATTTGCTATAGTTAACTTTCAAAACTATGTCACTGAATTTAACAGGGTCAAATTAAATTGTTCTGGGTGTTTTGAGATTA